GGCTGAGGCGGAGCATCCCTTGAGGCCAGGAGATGGAGGCTGCCCTGAGCGAGATCGCGCCTCCCCACTCCCGTGCTCCAGCCTGGATGACAGGACGGAGACTCTGTCTGGAAAACAAAAAGTAACATCAATAAATCCAGTTTTTAAGAAACCCGCAAGGACGGCCGGGTTTGGTAGGCAGAGCCAGACTGGCAGAGCCCTTGTTCTGCCCAGATTCAGACCCAGGTCGGAGTAGTCAAGCCTCCGCCCTCGGAATGGGGGCGTGGTGGAGGAACGGGGGCTGAGGAGACGGGTGTTCACGGTTTTCTATCTCATTCCAACAGCGTTTGCTTTGGTAACGGGAACGTCCAAACGGAGTCATGCCAGGTTTTCTCTCTCGACACGGTCTTCCCCGCTGTTGGGAAGGGAGCTGTTGCAGGTCTGACGGCTCGGGGGTGGCAGCTGGGGGAGGGAAGGGGCTCGATTCCGGTTCGGGGTGAATGGAGAGACCCGAAGGCCAGCCCGGGAGGCAGGAGGCTTCGGCGTGCGCAGCGGGGACGAAAGGGGCGAAGGCTGTTCAGGGCTGGAAAACTTGGCGAAGGCCTCAACGAGCGTCCACCGTTTCCGCAGTAGGTGACACATCGCTTATCACCGTGTGGCCGCTTCGGGAAACGACGCAACGAAAGACACGGAGCTGGGGTGGGTTGAGCCTGTCTCTGGGGCGTCTGTCCTGTCTCCTCGGGTGTGTGTCCGTTTGGTCTCTGGGGCGTTCATCCTGGGTTCCAGGGCATCTGTTGTCCTGTCTCTGGGGCGTCTGTCCTGTCTCTCGTGTGGCTAAGATGCCTGTGGGGCGTCCATCCTGTCTCCAGTGTCCGGCCCTGTCTCTCGGGTGTCCATGCCGCCTCTGGGGCATCCGTCTCTGTCTCTGGGGCGTCCGGCCCATCTCTGGGTGTCCATCCCATCTCTCGGGCGTCCGTCCTGCCCTCTGGGGCATCCGTTCTGCCTCTGGGGCATCCGTCCTGTCTCTGGGGTAAACCGTTCCTGTTCTGGGGGTGTCCGTCCTGTCTCTGGGGTGTCCGCCCTGTCTCTGGGGCGCCCATCCTGTCTCTGGGGCATCCTGTCGGTCTCTGGGGCATCTGTCCTGTCTCTGGGGTGTCCATGCTGTGTTGAGGGAAATCAGTTGCTTTTCGTCAGGGCCGGGATGGCCGTTATCTTTAACAGATATTCACTGAAATAGTCGGCTTTCATTCAAATCTTCTCATGGTTTAAAATACACAGATATATCTCACGCAGATCTATCCGTGCACAGATACTCTACAGCTGTATGAATGCGTCTATACATACAAGTGTGTGAGTGTGTGTGTGTGTGTGGGTGTGTGGAGAGAAAGAGGAGAAATATTCACTGAAATATTATCGCCATCAAAATCATCTAATGGTTTAAATATACATATTTATCATCTATATCTACAGATGCACAAGTCATACTCTACAGCTACATAAAACATATATCTACAGACATGTGTGTGTGTGAGTGTGTGTGGACAGAGAAGAGAAATATTCACTGAAATATTATCAGCCATCAAAGTCATCTTGTAATGGTTTAAATACATATTTATCATCTATATCTATCCATGCACAAATACTCTACAGCTACATAATGTATATATACACAATGGGTGTGTGTGTAGAGAGAGAGAAGGAGAGATACTCACTGGAAACATCGGCCATCAAATCATCTTCAAGAGTTAAAATATCCGTATTTATCATATATATGTATAGATGCACATACACGCCTACCCCTATATAAATGCATTTATACTTACAAAGTGTGTGTGTGTGTGTGTGTGTGGAGAGAGAGAAGTATTCACTGAAATATCGTCATCAAAATCATCTTGTAATGGTTTAAATATCCATATTGATCATCTATATCTATAGATGCACACATACTCCAATTCCCTATATAAATGCATCTATACTTACAAAATATGTGTGTGTGTGTGTGTGTGGAGAGAGGAGAAAAATATTCAGTGAAATATTATCAGCCATCAAAGTCATCTCACAATGGTTTAAATACACATCTATATCCTATATATGTATCTATGCAGAAAATACTCTACACATATACAAATGCATCTATACATACAAGGTGTGTGTGTGTGTCTGTGTGTGTGTGTGTGTGTGTGTGTGGAGGGAGACGGAGAGTGAGAAAGAGAGAGCGGGAGGAGGCCTTGACCCAGGAATCCAACCCCGGCCTGGGCAGTACAGCAAAGGCGCTATGTCTAGCAGAACATGAGAAAATCGGCCGGGTGTGGGAGTCCACGCAGGTATCCCAGTGCTCGGGAGGCCGAGGCAGGAGAATCACTTGAACCCGGGAGGCGGAGGTTGCAGTGAGCTGAGATCGCGCCACTGCACTCCGGCCTGGGAGACAGAGCGAGACCCTGTCTTAAAAATAAATGAATAGAAAAGAAGAGCACACGGCGGGCGGGCGGGCGGGCGGGCGGGCGGGCAGGCGGGCAGGCAGGCAAGGAAGGAAGGAGAGAAAGAAAGAAAGAGAGAGAGAAAAGAAAGAAAATAAGGAAGCAAAGAGAGAAAGAAAGAGAGAAAGGAAGGAAGGAAGGAAGGAAGGAAGGAAGGAAGGAAGGAAGGAAGGAAGGAAGGAAGGAAGGAGGAGGAAGGAAGGAAAGAAAGGAAGGAAGGAAGAAGGAAGAAGGAAGAAGGAAGGGAGAAGGAAGGAAGGAAGAAGGAAGGAAGGAAGGAAGGAAGGAAGGAAGGAAGGAAGGAAGGAAGGAAGGAAGGAAAGAAGGCCAAGGCCGGTGGATCACCTGAGTTCAGGAGTTCAAAACCAGCCCAGCCAACAAGGTAAAACCCCGTCTCTAATAAATATACAAAAATGAGCCGGGTGAGGTGGCAGGTGCCTGTCGTCCCAGCTACTCGGGAGGCTGAGGCAGGAGAATGGCGTGAACCCGGGAGGCGGAGGTTGCGGTGAGCCGAGGTCGCGCCCGCGCACTCCAGCCTGGGGGACGGAGCGAGACTCCCTTTTTTAAAAAAAAAACAAACCCTCATCACAGGCAGCAGTTAGATACTATTTTCTTTGTCTACTCTCCTGATGTCTCCACTAGAGACGAGGGAACCTCACAGTCACCCCCTCACCCACCTGGCACCCGGCACAGCATCCCGGGCTCCGTGGACACTCAACAAGCAGCCACGAGGCCCAGCTCAGCCCGGGCAGGGCCTGGAGGCTGTGACCGAACGGAGAAAGAAAAGGGGTATTTGGGGACGGTTCCCCGGGGGTCTGTCCGTCAGCCAGAACCACTTCCAGTCTGTGTTTTTCTTCCCCGTCTCCGAGGCAGAGCAGGTGATAAATCTTTCAGCAACGTCGGGGCCTCGCAGGCCCGAGCCGGCTGCCACCTACGTGGTGTGGCTCCCCTGGAACCTCCCCGCCGTGTCCCCGTCCCAAAATCCCGCGGCCTCGCCCCAACCCGGCCGCAGGTGCCTCGAACTCCTTCGTGCCTTCCTCGGGGTCAAACTAAAAAAAATGAACGGCAGCTGTGAAAACACTCATTTTATCCGGGTGGCGAAATACAGGAGACGGGGCGGGGGTCCTGCCGCGAACGCCGTCCCCGTTTATCGGGATCCCCGACAGGGCCTGGGAGGTCTGGACAGGGCGGGCTCCGGAGCCCGAGAACCAGGGCAGACGGGCGCCGGGAGCAGGTAGCGGCTCTGAGAGTTTTCAGAGTGAAGATTTTCTCCCACTGAGGCGGCTGGCTCAGGACGCCCGGCCAGGCAGGGTGGGAGGCGGCTGGACCAGCCTGTGTCTCCCTTAGACGTTCCCTGGAACCCCTCACAAGACGCTGATGCCCTGGCCTGTGGGCTGTGTCTGCAGCATGAAAACAATGGCTTTTATTATCTTTTTTTCCCTATGTTATTTTTTGAGACAGACGTGGTGCTCTGTCCCCCAGGCTGGAGTGCGGTGGCCCGATCTCGGCTCACGGCAACCTCCGCCTCCCGGGTTCCAGCGATTCTCCTGCCTCAGCCTCCCGAGTAGCTGGGACGACAGGCACCTGCCCCCACGCCCAGGTAATTTTGTATTTTTAGTAGAGATGGGGTTTCACCATGTTGGCCAGGCTGGTCTCGAACTCCTGACCTCAGGTGATGCACCTGCCTCGGCCTCCCAAAGTGCCAGGATGACAGGTGCGAGCCGCCGCGCCCGGCCTTGTTTTTATTATTTTTGAGGTGGCATCTTGCTCCGTCGCCCGGGCTGGAGTGCGGTGGTGAGATCATGGCTCACTCCGGCCTCCAGCTCCAGGGCTAAAGTGATCCTCCCGCCTCAGCCTCTTCAGGAGCCGGGGCGACAGGCACCCACGTCACTAGTCCCAGCTAATGTATATTTTATTATTTTTAGACACATGGTCTCATTATGTGACCCAGGCTGGGAGACACTCAGACTCCTGGTCTCCGGAGATCCTCGTGCCTCGGCCTCCCAAAGTGCTGGGATTGCGGGTGTGAGCCACCGCGCCCGGCCCAAAACAAAATTTAGACAGCAAGAGAAGCACGGTGGCTCACGCCTGTCCTCCCAACACTTTGGGAGGCTGAGGCGGGCGGATCACCTGAGGTCGGGAGTTCGAGACCAGCCTGGCCAACATGGAGAAACCCCGTCTCTAATAAATATACAAAAATTAGCCAGGCGTGGTGGCAGGTGCCTGTCATCCCAGCTACTCATGAGGCTGAGGCAGGACAATCGCTTGAACCCGGGAGGCGGAGGCTGCCGTGAGCCGAGATCGGGCCACCGCCCTCCAGCCTGGACGACAGAGCGAGACTCCGTCTCAAAAAACTAAAAATCACATAAAAGTTCCGCGGGGAGACGAGCCAGAACGTGTATATTCCCAACTGTTCTGTAGAGACCGAGGCTGTTTGGGCTGCGACGCTTCTCAAAGTCTTCTCGAACTCATTTATTTTTTTTCCTTTATCGCGTTCCAGAATTTTCTGCCAGGAGCCTGTACGCCTTTCATTTGCCTGCAGAAGGGAGCTCCCTTTTTTTTTTTTAAATTTTTAAAATCGAACAGCCGCTTTCTTTCCGTCTCTGTCAGGAGGATATGCTACGGCGACCGGTCCCAGCGCTGCACGGACCCCGTTCTGTGGGGGCACCTGTGGGCAGAGCGGGTGAGACAGGAGGGCAGAAGGCGCCTCGGGCTGGGTCAGGGACAAGGAGCTGCCACGCAGTGCCCCGATTATTCCATTCCGTGGCAGAGCCGTGGGCGGGACCACCTCACGCAGGTGAACCCCAGGTGAGCGACCCCAGATAAGCCACACCCTGCCTCACCTGGCAAGCACGCCGGGGAGGCGACCCCACCCGCAGGTCACAGGCACGGCCGTTCTTACGGGAAGCCCGGAGCGTCCTGTGTGGCCAGGTGGCCTGGAAGGCGGTGGTGGGGGGATTAGCGCGTCCGGGCGTCTGCCGATCTGGCCTGACGTCGGCTCCCGGCACACACAAGTGGGTTTCTGAGACGCAGACCCTGTGATGTGGGAGCCGGGCGCCCGGGCTGTGCGGACGTTTCTCGGTAATATTTGTCCAGAAGCAAAGATTGAAACTCTTGGCTGGAGACTGTGAGGCCACTGTAGACAGACCACGGATTCTGGCTGCGGGGAACGTGGCAATTAGCAGGATTTATGATGTTTGCACAGCTCCCAGGGGCAGGATCCGGCTGGAGGCGGCCTCGGGCGGGAGCGTGGGGTCCAGACCGTGTCTCCAGCCCGGCTTCAGATCAGGCCACGTGCTGTCCGGGCGGACCCGTTGTCAGAGATCCTCGCCCGGAGACGTTACGGTTACCGGAACACACAAGGCCAGGCGCGGGGGGCTCACACACCCTTTGGAATCCCAGCACTTTGGGAAGCCGAGGCGGGTGGATTGCTTGAGGTCGGGAGTTCAAGACCAGCCTCGCGTCTGGGAGAGACGGCGAAACCCGGTGTCTACTAAAAACACAAACATTATCCGGGCGTGGTGGTGACTCATAGCCTGGAGTCCCAGCTACTCGGGAGGCTGACGCAGGAGAATCGCTTGAACCCGGGAGGCGGAGGTTGAGGTGAGCCGAGATCGCACCACTGCACTCCAGCCTGGGTAACGAGAGTGAAACTCTGTCTTAAAAAAAAGAAAAAAAAAGTATTTACTAAACAGACTGAGACTTGGGAGTGTCCTAATTAAAATTATTAATTAATAATTTATAATAATAAAATAATTTATTCTAATATATATATATTATATATACATATAGGCATTTCTAATTTTGCTCTAAACATAATACTAATTCTTGGCCTGGTGCAGCAGCTCACGCCTGTAATCCCAGCACTTTGGGAGGCTGAGGCGGGTGGATCAGGAAGTCAGGAGATCAAGACCAGCCTGGCCAATATGGGAAAACCCGTCTCTATTAAAAATACAAAAAAATAGCTGGGTGAGGTGGCGGCACCTGTAGTCCCAGCTACTCGGGAGGCTGAGGCAGGAGAATGGCGTGAACCCGGGAGGCGGAGCTTGCAGTGAGCTGAGATCCGGCCACTGCACTCCAGCCTGGGCCACAGAGCGAGACTCCATCTCAAACACAAAGAAACAAAAACAAACAAAAAACGTCGCAAAAGGTGAATTCTAGGTTCTGCCCGTGTTACGTACCGCGGTAAACGAACCGGAGAACAAGACCCGGACAGCGTTCATCAGCCACGACGTGAACACCAGGCCTTCATCCATTTTTTTATCATGAATTTCAGGTATTCGGTTGAAGAGCCGCGTGAGTCCACGCCACCTGGGGTGCTGGGATGGTTAATTGCAAAATAATTAGAGAAAATTGGTGACTTCTCTCATCTCTCTTTCATCTTTCATCTGCGGCTAATGAGAATTCTGCAGCTCGGAGGGTGAAAGTTAAAATCCAGACGCTTCCGGTTCTATTCTAATGAGGTTCCGGACGCCGCTGCCCGGGCACAAAGCAAGCTGACTGTTTTGCACCATTTGGACTTTTTTTTTTTCTAAATGTCATAAGGGAAATTTAATTCCTTTTAATTAAACGTCTTTAAAAGCCCATCCCTTTAGTCTTTCAGCTCCTCTGCTCGGGCTGCTCCCACGCTGTGCAATGTCCTTCCGTTCTCAATAAATCCCCTCATTCCTTCCTTGCAAAAAAATAAAAAATAAAAATAAAACAAGGCCGGGCGCGGTGGCTCACGCCTGTCATCCCAGCACTTTGGGAGGCCAAGACGGGCGGATCACGAGGTCAGGAGATCGAGACCATCCTGGCCAACACGGTGAAACCCCGTCTCTACTAAAAATACAAAAACTAGCCGGGCGTGGTGGCAGGTGCCTGTGGTCCCAGCTACTCAGGAGGCTGAGGCAGGAGAATGGTGTGAACCCGGGAGGTGGAGGTTGCAGTGAACCGAGATCGCACCACTGCACTCCAGCCTGGGCCACAGAGCAAGACTCCCTCTCAAAAAACAAAACAAAACAAAATAAAAATTGGCTGGGCGCAGTGGCAGGTGCCTGTCATCCCAGCTACTCAGGAGGCTGAGGCAGGAGAATCGCTTGAACCCGGGAGCGGAGGTTGCGGTGAGCCGAGATGGTGCCACCGCACTCCAGCCTGGACATCAGGAGCGAAACTCTGTCTCAAAACTAATAATAATAAAATAATTTTTAAAACAGGCCGGGCGCGGTGGCCCACGCCTGAAACCCCAGCACTTCGGGAGGCCGAGGCCGGTGGATCACCTGAGGTCAGCAGTTCGAGACCAGCGTGGCCAACACGGCGAGACCCCATCTCCACTAAAAATACAAAAATTAGCCAGGGACGGTGTGGGCACCTGTCACCCCAGCTACTCAGGAGGCTGAGGCAGGAGAATCACTCGAACCCGGGAGGCGGAGGTTGTGGTGAGCTGAGATCGCACCACCGCACTCCAGCCTAGGCGACAAGGGTGAAACTCATCTGAAAAACAAAAACCAGGCCGGGCGCGGTGGCTCAAGCCTGTAATCCCAGCACTTTGGGAGGCCGAGACAGGCGGATCACGAGGTCAGGAGATCGAGACCATCCTGGCTAACACGGTGAAACCCCGTCTCTACTAAAAAATACAAAAAACTAGCCGGGCGTGGTGGCAGGTGCCTGTCACCCCAGCTACTCGGGAGGCTGAGGCAGGAGAATCACTTGAACCCGGGAGGCGGAGGTTGCAGTGAGCTGAGATCGCACCACTGCACTCCAGCCTGGGCCACAGAGCGAGACTCCGTCTCAAAAAAAAAAAAAAAAAAAAACCAAAAACCATCATTATCAAATAAATAAAAAATAAAAGGAGCCATTTCCCCTGCAACGGCTGTGACGTGCTTCTCAGTATGATTGTGGGCAGCAGCCGGCCCTTGCCCTGCAGTCCAGCTGCACCTGCTCCTGCCCCGGCCCCGGCTGACCGAGGTCTGTTTGTGTCTCCCCGTATCACCCAGCAACGGGCACCTAAACACAGCTGAGCCGCAAAGACAAGGGCTCCCGGGTGGTAACCACGCAGGTCCTCTTACTGCAGAGAAAAAGACCTAAGTCCCGGGGATTGGGGTTCTCCTCTGCTCTGCACCCCACACCCCACACCCCCAGGTCTCCGGCAGCACCGAGCTCGGCCGTGGGCCCTGGAGGAAGGAGGGAGACGTCGTGTCAAGGTTCCCCGCGGGGGGCACCCAGCGCCCTTCTCCTTCAGAAGGTGGCACATTCCCCAGGCCTGAGGTCATGCCGGCTACGAGGGGGGCTGCCATCCCCGTCCGGGGGCCTGGCTCGTTTATTGGAAGGGCAGGCACTGTGGAGGCTGGGGCTCCCGGCTTCTCCCCAGCTTCCTTCCTCCCTGACCAGCCCAGCGGAAAAGCAAAATTCCTCCTGCAGACCTCAGATGCCAAGCGGGATGTCTAAATCGGGTGCGAGCATTCCTGCCGCTCGGCGTGACCCTCGGCGAATCCCTGGCAGGGGGCGGCTGTCCCGGTCGTGGAATGTGTGGACGGAACGTTGGGGCCAGGAGAGCTGTTGAAAGCCCGTCCCCGGCGCCCACCCAGACTCTGCGACTATTTCCAGGATGGGGGGGCGGACACGGCCCCTTTCGGCCCTCGGAATTCCTGGCGGGGCTGCCCAGCTGGCTTTGCAGAGAGGCAGAGCCACAGCTGTGCTTCCCTGGGTGCTCTCTCCATTCTTATTTAAATCTCACTGATCTAAAAGAAAACCCTTTTCTATCTTCCTCTAGGTGGCTTGAGACTGTGCCTAGTGGGTCCGTGGTCCCCGGGCTCTATTTTCACAGAGCATTGACTTTTTTATTTTGATTTTTTTAGACAGAGTCTCGTTGTCCCCCAGGCTGGAGTGCAGTGGCACGATCTCGGCTCACGGCAACCTCCGCCTCCCGGGTTCAAGCCATTCTCCTGCCTCAGCCTCCCGAGTAGCTGGGATGACAGGCACCTGCCACCACGCCCGGCTCATTTTTGTATTTTTAGTAGAGACGGGGTTTCACCGTGTTGGCCAGGCTGGTCTTGAACTCCTGACCTCAGGTGATCCTCCCGCCTCGGCATCCCAAAGTGCTGGGATTACAGGCGTGAGCCGCCGCGCCCGGCCTAAAAGTAGCTGCTCTGAACACTATGACTAAAGCAGTGGGCAAGTGTGGTCAGCAGATTCCCAGATATAAAATCCAAGACCCGAGCTGTTTTCCAGAGCTCACCGTGTCATGCCTGGGATCCACCTGGCCACCAGCTCCTTGCACCCCACAATCACGACAGCTGCCCTGGGTCCCCGGGACCGTGGAATTCTCCAGATCTGCCTATCTCGCCTGAATTGCAGTAGCTTTTCCCAGAAAACCTCTGCAAACCCCAGCCGAGGCCCTATTCAGCGGCCTGCCTGCCACGGGTGCTGAGAACCAGGTGTTCGCATGGAGGTGAGAGCAGGTGTCTGAAGGCAGCCGGGCGCGGTGGCTCACGCCTGTCATCCCAGCACTTCGGGAGGCCGAGGCGGGTGGATCACAAGGTCAGGAGTTCGAGACCAGCCTGGCCAACGTGGTGAAACCCCGTCTCTACTAAAAATACAAAAATTAGCCAGATGTGGTGGCGGGTGCCTGTAGTCCCAGCTACTCGGGAGGCTGAGGCAGGAGAATCGCTTGAACCCGGGCGGTGGAGGCTGCAGTGAGCCGAGATCGCATCACTGCACTCCAGCCTGGGAAACACAGCAAGACTCTGTCTCAAAAAAAAAAAAAAAAAAAAAAAACCGTGTGTTTCTGCACGGAAATGCCTGACAAAGCCTTGAGGGTGGGGGATTAAGAGTGAATCGCATTCCTCGGATTCTGGAACCAGGAACTCAACGGCAGCAATAACGCAGCGCGTGGCCGAGGCTTCCTGAAATCTGCTGCTCCCTGACCTCTGGGGCACGAAGAACAGGCCTGAAAATAACCCCCGGGATCCGTGCAGCCAGAACGGCACCCGGACGGCAGCTGTTCTCCCCGGAGGCGTTCCTTCCACACAGGCTCCTTCGGGAGACAAAGACGGCAGATGGCGCCTGCCCGGCCAGCCCACGGCCGCTTCAGTCCTGGAGGGTGTGTGCGGGGGGCGGGGGCAGGAGGAGACGGCCGTGGTGACTGGGGCAGCCTCGTCCGGCCACTTCTCCGCAAGTCCCTCTGGGCCGTTCGACGACCACGTCCGGATTTTGTGCTCACACAAAGCACACGGACGCACAGATGGGTCCACGTCACCAGTGCATTCGCTGTTGCTCGTTGGCAGGTTAAAACAACAGGAATCGATCCTGTCCTTGTCCTGGACATATCATGAGTCTGAGATGAAGGTGTCTCAGGGCTGCGTTCCTTCCAGAGGCTCTAGGGGACGATCCCTCCTGCCTCTCCCAGCTCCTGGGGGCTCCCGGCGTCCCTGGGCTTGTGGCCGCATCACTCCAGTCTCTGCGTCCGTCTCCACGTGGCCTCCTCCTCTGTGTCTGTGTCTCCTCTTCTGTCTCTCAGAACGATGTCTGTCATTGGATTCATGACCGGTCCTACTCCAGGACGATCTCATCTCCAGGTCCTTCAGTTAATCACATCTGCAAGGACGCTATTTCCAAATAAGAAGCCAGGCCGTGGGCCGTGGCTCACACCTGTCATCCCAGCACTTTGGGAGGCTGAGGTGGACAGTTCCCTTGAGGTCAGCAGTTCAAGACCGGCCTGGCCCACATGGCGAAACCCCGTCTCTACTAAAAATACAAAAATTAGGCTGGACGCGGTGGCTCGCACCTGTCATCCCAGCACTTTGGGAGGCCGAGGCGGGCGGATCACGAGGTCAGGAGTTGGAGACCAGCCTGGCCAACATGGTGAAACCCCGTCTCTACTAAAAATACAAAAACTAGCCGGGCGAGGTGGCGGCGCCTGTAGTCCCAGCTATTCAGGAGGCTGAGGCAGGAGAATGGCGTAAACCCGGGAGGCGGAGCTTGCAGGGAGCTGAGATCTGGCCACTGCACTCCAGCCTGGGTGACAGAGCAAGACTCCATCTCAAAAAAAAAAAAAAAATTAAAAATATAATTATTTCAAAACCCTAAATGACTGCTTACAGTGTGATGACGTTCTGGGTCGTGGATAAGAGGAAGGTACTTATTAAAAGGATTCCAGGCTGCGTGCGGAGGCTCACACCTGAAATCCCAGCACTTTGGGAGGCTGAGGCAGGAGGATTGCTTGAGGCCAAGAGTTTGAGACCAGCCTGGGCAACATAGTCACAACCCATCTCTAGAAAAAAATGAAAAAAATTAGGCGGGCGTGGTGGTGCACGGCTGCTCAGGAGGCTGAGGTTGGAGG